CCATAAAATTATTTTCGTTGCTACTCTATAACTGTAATTTTGCTACTGTTATGAATCGTCATGTAAATCTCTTTTTGTTTTCCGATGGTCTTACGCGACCCCTGCGAAAGGGTCGTTCGACCCCCAAAGGGGTCGCGACCCACAGGTTGAGAACCGCTGCTCTAAGTCATAGTAGGCATAAGTCTGGCTGTAAAGGTAAATCTGATTTGGTAGCTTTTGAGTGGAAAGTTTGGAGTGGGGTCAAGAAACTGGCCTTTACCCTGTCCAAGCTTCCTGTTTCCCTGAGGTGTCTGAGGGAACTCTCTATTCAAAATGAGGAACCAACTCAATATTAAATGTTTATTCCAGGGTGCTGCATTGGGAGAAGGGAGGGTAGTGTATGAGTTACCCGTTGTTCCAGGCCTGCCACCTTTCCTAGTGCAGAGTGGCTTGGCATGGTCTTCCCATCAAGCCTCTTCTTCTACCCTCTGGCCTCATCAGACTGGAACCTTTCTTCCTCTGTTAGTCTTCAAAATGATTGTTTCATATCCTGCAGCTCATTTACAATTTTTTGAATTAGTATTTAAAGATATTTCCATATTGTGTTAGTCATGTTTCAGTGTTCACTACCATTTTTTCTTTTTGTTTTAGATCTGCTGATTAGGAAAAATTTATATTAAAATCTCACATTAGAAATGTTTTTCAAATCAAACTATCCTCATATTTCATCTTCTTTTAAAATGGATTTTTGTATAATTTTTCTTTCATGACTCATTGTCATTGTACATCTCTGGTCCCCTTTAATTTAATTAATTCTTAGTGAATGCTTGGGAACTCACACCCCAATCAAGAACCTGAACATTCATAACAACTTACATCTTCTTATAGCGAGATACTACTTTTAAGAATGGTTTTACCCCCCCATCATTTTAAGTAGAGGAATGAATTCTTTTTATTACCCAAGTTGTACTGAATTCCAGCCATTCCAAGATGATACAGATTTCAGTTTGCTGCCCGGCATGTAGAAAATACATAGTTTGAAAACTGTTTAATTAAGTTTATTAGTTTTATGTTTGTATTTTCTTTTTGCGCAAAGTACCATATTTGCCGGCGTATAAGACGATTTTTTGGCCCTGAAAAATATGCCTCCAAGTGGGGGGTCGTCTTATACGCCAGGTACACTTCAGATA